TTCTCCCAGCATAAGAAATGCCACAAACAATTTACAGTAGCTCAGGCAGCGAAGAGACTCCTGCAGAAACATCTTCATTTCCCACAGCCAAGCTGCCACCTGATGGCCAGTTCAGCATGATTTGATGCGGGGGCTTGGCCTTGTCGCAAGTAAGGAACAACCACCGCACAAAACGGGCCTTGCATCTCTGCAACCGGCGGGGCCTGCCGCAGCGCTCGTACGCAGGAGAGAGACATGCACCTTCCAGCACAAGCGGTAATTAAAAACCGGTGATTTTTGAGAGGGACTACTGGCACACGCTCTCTCCTCAGCAGTTAGCCTTTCAGGCGTGACTCGACGTCTACTGAACAGCACTTACAGGGGCATCACCCAGGCGCCACAGCTGACGAATCGCGGGGCAAAGGGAGAGGCAATCCCTGGTGCAGGATCGCGTGGGGAGTGCTGCACAGCAGAACCACCAGTGCAACACACCAGTTGCACAGCTCAACCCAGGCTGCTCAGACACTTCTCTCACGTGGGATGGGGAGTTACAGTTTTGCAGTATGGCTGGCCAAAGAGGTCCAAGATAAAGAGTGGGGCACACACATGACAACACATCATGGCCTTAAACCATGGCTTGCTTCATTTGGTTTTCTTTCTGGAGAAACCTTCTTCTAAGTTTTCTTTGTTCCTATGCCAGGGAAAACACTAAAAAAAAAATGCCACATTCTGGAAAAGACACTTGCATTAAACAGATCTTGTTTCACAGAAAAGAACTGAGCAGACCTTTTGTGGGTTTTTGGCTCCTCCTAGGCTTAACTTCAGTGCTGGTTAATGCTGAACCATTAGCAGACGTGGGTTTTTTAATCTCTGGGCTCAGTTCTAAAAAACAGCCTCATTTCTCATCTCCTCAGTTCTAAAAAGCAGATACCGAGTCTAATTTCTGCCCTAGCATACTTAGGATTTCTGAGGTTTTGTATACATGCTACAGATTACCCGCAGTCAGAGCATAATGACTATTTCATTAACAGTGGCTTTATTGCCAACGTTTCATTATGGCTTTTGCTATCACATTCAGAATCTGCGCTGAACCGTCACAACGAACCTTTCTAAGTGGGGTATAAACGCATTTGCCTTTGAGAACATCTTGATGAATAAAAGAATGCTGACATTTCTGGCCCATTCAAAGGAGAATATTAAATCCTTCAAGCCTCCTCCTAAAAGACTTGCATTTAAAGATGTCAGCTACATTCAGTAAGAGCAAGTTCGCTTTGAGAATAGCAAAGTGACGTCGGAGAGGCAATAGAGGGAATAGCTTAAAAAAAGCATAGCAGTACCTCAGTTCCATTAGTCTTTGACCTCTTTGCAGGAATTTCTTTATCCTACAGGTAAAGAGTGAAGTAAAGAAGTGTATAAAGAACTTGAGAGCAACACTGTATTCACAGGAACAAATACAAACAGTCATTTTCAGGGCAATGGAAATACCCCTCTGTGAGCACAAAGGCCTGAACTCTAACTTTCAGAAGTACTTGGTTCTGTTTCACTGTGAAATTATAGCCTTCAGATGTTAACAGAGGAAGATGTACAAGGACTCATCCACTTTCTCCCACCTACTAAAAAAAACTAAGCAGCAATTTAGGCCTGTCCTCAACCGATTTAAACCAGTCAGCCTTCTGTTCAGTCAAAAGAGATAAAAACCAAAATAAACAAAACCAGTATGGAAAATAGGGCTGGAGGTATCCACCATAACATAAAATCCACAAAGCTTGCCCAGAGGAGGGAAAGGCTGTGACATACAACTCCTCACGACCTCCTGCTGCAGAGAAGGCAAAATTAACAGAGCTGACAACTTCCTTCCTTGCTCCCCCCTCAGGCCCCTATATCCCATGGAATGCTCTTTCCTTGCTCCCACACCAAAATGAAAGCCTCTCCACGTTGATCAGACATCACTGTACCTGCAGGAAAGTCACAGGCTATAACCCACTCCTCCAAACCTCCAGCTCCAGAGGCAGGGACAGCAATGCCCCCAGGGAGCGCGAGATGAGAGCGCCCACTGCTTTCCCAGCAACAGTACCCGTGGACCAGAGCACCTTGGTAACTCCCCTTTGCACGAGACTTGCCTCTTCCCCTGACACCATGCTCAGGGGCTGCCGATTAAAAATGTGCAGGAACCTTTGTGATCTCTCAGTTTGAATTATTCAGGAGCTGGGTTCATTAGTTCAGAAGTCTCAATCTGAACATGTTACCACCACTATCTTTTCTCACCATTCGTATCATCCAGAGACCCTTCTTTTGGCCAAAGAAAACTGCCAAAACCCTCCCAAGCTGTCTGTGTAACAAGCATACCATAATAAGCAAACCTGAGTCTAAACCAGAGGCTGGCAGTTCCCACTGGTGACACACAAAGCAGGCGTTTCATTATTGCTGTAATGAAACTCCAGGGAGCGTGGCTAACGACACGTGAAAGTGCTCAGCTGCACCTCACGCCTAGTAATTCTCCAAAGGTGCGATTACCACTCCTCTCCCGGGCATTACCGTGGGTTTCCAATTACAGCGCTCCTCCGGGGATTAAAGTAACGCACCGAGGGTTACGCACGCGTGTGCTGACACCTCCCGCTGCAAGGGAATGTACACTTTAACTGCAGGCGTAGAAAAAAGCCAACTCAGAAGAGTAGCGGTAGAAAATTAGTTCAAGCACACGTAAACACAAACGTGAAACAGCAGAGCATTAATACAAGACAGAGTGAGGGCTCCCCTGCCCTTGGTCACCTGGAGACTCAGACACCCAGGTCTGCCTGCACGCTGTGTGTCCCTGCGGGTTACTAATGCAGCAGAGACAAACCGGTGGCATTACTGTGCCCGCATTACACGAGGAGCCAGCCTGAGTTAGAGCGGGCCTTTCTGGTGCTACACGTCTGTCTGTCAACTGCTAACTAACAAAAAACCCCACACCTCTTAAGAACTGCCATTTTACCAAAACAACACCAACAGAGACGTTACCATTCTGAGGCCGATTGTTTCACGGCACAGGTACGTACCTCTTTAGACCCAGCAAACAGCGGAATGTCATGAAATGGGGAAATGTATTTACCATCCACATTCTCTGAAAAACAAAACCAAAAAGTAGCATTATAATCCTAACACAAATATACGATGTTGCTATTATGCATTACAGAAATGTGATCTGCCACAATTATGCAGCAGAAAGTTTTTCTGAAGTTTAAATCTAAGGACTATAAAATAAGCCACACAGGACAAGGAAACTGGTTGTTTGACAAGGATTCATTACAATAAAAATTATTGCTTTAGTATTCAGTACTACACTTCTGACTACCCGGCAATACAAGATATGTAAAAATGAGAAGACCCCTTCATTCTCTTTTCTCCTTCTCCCCAGCAACTGACAACCATTAATGGGGAAAAAGACATACCAAGGGAACCTCATTTCCATGAGCGATCAGTGAATTCATCTGGGTTTCCAGCAGTGCTGCCCCTGTGACTTCACTGCATTTCTAATAAACAGTTTTCATGAGCACAGAGAAAAATCCCCCAACACAGTAGGCCCAAGTCCGACCAAAGGAGTAAGAGAGGGATAGGATAACTGCACAGGCCCTTGAGATACCACCTCAAACCCAGCCCAGGCTGACACTGTGCTCAAGCTGTGCCTCAGCCTTGCTCCCACTGTAGAAAGAAACAATTCACTGGAGTGGATGCTTAAGCTTTTCAAACTACGCAGACATTTTTCAACATACTAAAAGCACAAGTACTGCATCAAAACAGAAACAACAGAAGGTGCTAACACAAATCCCAGGGAATTTCTCTGCTAGCACCCTTATTTACACTAAAGCAAAAAGCAGACAAGGGACTTCATAGAATCATGGAATGGTTTGGGTTGAAAGGGACCTTAAAGATCATCTAGTTCCAACCCCCCTGCCATGGGCAGGGACACCTTCCACTAGACCAGGTTGCTCCACGCCTCATCCAGCCTGGCCTTGGACACTCCCAGGGATGGGGCATCCACAGCTTCTCTGGGCAACCTGTCCCAGTGCTCCCACCCTCTGCGGGAAGAACTTCATTTGGCTTTGGATTGTACTTTGACCACCTCAGCAAAGAGAAGTAAATGGTAGCTGGTTCTGCAACTCCTGGAAGCCTCCCAGATGCTCCTCCCAAATAAAACAAAGTTTAGTTGGTGGGAATAAGCAGCCTGCCACTAAAGTGACTTTCTCTAGATGGGCTCCTGCGCTGGCAGCCGCCTGGGGACAGAGCCCAAGGCAGCTCCAGCAGGGTACTGCCCACAGGGTACACAACACCTCCACTCCTCACACCGGCGACGTCGGCATTAACTGCTCCTAAGTCAGCGGACAAACACGTACAGAACCACTGCAAGAGAAGTGGCATATGGACAGACAGTACTGTTACTAAGTGCATAACACAGACGGCACCCCCCACCCTCAGCTCTCACTGGAGTTTGGGAACCCTCTGGAGCGCTGCCTATGTTCTCCCGGTGCCACTGGCCCCACAGGTCCCCCAGGGCTGGAGCCCCATGGTTTGGATACCAGCCTCCTCACACCGTGACGTTTCTGGAGGCAGGGATGGCCTAGTCACCGGGCTGTCACACCAGAGGCGAGGCTCCCACGGCCAAGGCTGTCCTTGGGGCCCCAGGGCACCCCATGGCCTCCGGGCCCAGGCTGCCCCGGCACTGCCCACGGCAGCACTTCGCCCCCAGCACAGGGGCCTTGGCGGGGTGGGAGGGCACCGCTGTGCC